GTTTTATTTCATTTTGCGCACTTCAAGAGACTGGTTAGAAGGCTTTTGAAATAATCTAGTCAAGAGAAGACAGGGGGCACCTGGGTGGCTGGGTCGGTTAAGCATCTGACTCTTGATTTTGGCTCAGGTCATGTTCTCACGGTTTGTGGGTTGGAGCCCTGTGTCCAGTCTCTGTGCTGACAGCACAGAGCCTGCTTGGGATTCTCTCTCTCTCTCTCTCTCTCTCTCTCTCTCTCTCTCAAAATTAATAAATATTAAGAGAGAGAGAGAAGACAGGCTCAGTCCAGGGTGGTAGCACTGAAAAAATAAAGAAGTAGTCAAATTCTAGACACATTTAGAAGGGAGCACTGACAGATTTTTGCTGATTCCTAAAGTTTTTTTCTTTTCCCAAGCAACTGGAAGATGCAATTCGTAAAGTGAGGAAGACTTAAATAAAAGCAGACGGGAAGGGAGGAACTTGGGAATCCATTTGGGGGCATGTTAACTTTGAGCTGCCTGTTAGACACCCAAGTTGGAACGGGATATAGAAGTCTGGGGCTTGGGGGAGAGGTCCAGGCTGGAAATAGAATTTTGGGAGTCCTCAGAATAGGTAAAATCTGAAGACTCAATGAGAACATTTGGAAAGTGTTAATGAAGCGTAAGGTCAGGGATGAGCCTGAGGCCCCCAACGCTGAGAGGTCAGTCGGGGAGATAACAAGGAACCAGCAAAGGATTCTGAAGAAAGGAGCAAGGGTGCCATGGGAGACTGAGGAAAGCATCATGTGCTAGAAGTCCAAGGATAGAGGATGGACTGATGCCGCCATAGTAGCGAATGGTTCAAGTAAGGTTAGTGTTGGTGATTTGGACATGGGCATCAGCACCACAGAGTTAACTAGTGGCCTTGGTAAGCGCTCTTGAAGCAGAGATGGGTGGGAAAGTCTGACTGGAGTGGTTTCTAGGAAGAATGAGATCTAGGAAGATCTCTGGAAAGAATGGGACTGTAGAAAGGGATCACGCGTATAGACAACTTTTCCATGAAGTTTTTCCCCCGAGGATGTGCAGAGAATTAGGGTGATAGTTGGAAGGGAATATAGGATCGAAGCAGATTGTTTTGTTCTTTTATTTCATTTTGCATAATTCATTTAACCTGTTTGCGTGCTGATGGGAATGATTTGGTAGTGAGGGAAAACTTGGTAATGCAAGTATGTGGGACAGGGTGATAGTGACAATGGCCAGCCGTTGAATCCAAACCAGATAAGAGGGGAGTGAGAAAACTGGGGTGGGGGTGGCAGGGGCAGTGGTAGGGGAGGGACCCTGTAAAAGTGGTCGGATCAATGGAAGATGGATGAAAGGATTGTTGGAATCAGCACAGTAAGGGGAGTGAACCGGAAAGAAGGAGGTACTGGTTGAAAAGCCAGATTGCTTGCACTGAGATCGCGTGAGGGACAATTTTGAGTACATGCAAAAGGCCTGGGGCAGCTTCTCAAACGGTAACGTCCACGCGCATTCTCAGGAGATCTTGGCAAAATGCACACTGATTCCATTGGTCTAGGGTGGGGACCATGAGCCTACATTTCAAACAAGTTGGGGGTAGAGTGGGTGAAGATGCCGATTATTTTTACTCTTGTTCATCGTCTTGATACCCAAACCTCCGTTAATGCAACACACACACACACACACACACACACACACACACACACGAAAACTTTACTAATCTTGCTAGTGAATATATATGAAAAATCTAAACAAAGAGGTATGAAATAGAAGTACAATGACAGTATGTTAAAAGCAAAGTCCACCCCAACCAAAGACAATTGAGAAGCCCTTAGAAAGGCCATAGCTGTCTAGGGACTGTCTCTGCTCACAGAGAAGTAAGCTGACAAGCAGTCCAGAGCAAGCCCTGGACCTGGGGAGTGGCTGGTTCCCGGAGCTCTCTCTTTGCTTTGCTCTGGTAACAGTGGGAGGGAGGTGTCCAGCAGTCTCAAGTTTTATCTAATTTTGAAACTTTGTTGCATGAGGACTTTACCCCCATAGCATTTTTGTTTGTTTGTTTGCGTTTTTAACTGTAGTCCCAAAGGAAGGCCTTTGGTGTCCTCACATTCTGCAAAAACAACTCAAGACCCAACTTCCCACAGAATAAAAGAATGTAGGGGGTTGGATAATCCCATATGAAGGGGTTTGATTCCTTTGTTTCAAGGGTCAGAGCAGGGTTCCGGATTAATCTCTTAACTGGAGTAAACCCACTGCAGTGGCAAGATGGCAGAGATTTCTGGAGCAGGGGTTTGTAACAAATTCCGAAGCCCAAGTGGAAGGAGTCATGTCATTTGACTGCTTGAATTTAGCTGGGAGACACATTCTCAATCCTTCCATAGAGCCTTCTGGAAAGCCCTTTCTATGAATATATTTCTTTGTAGGCACAACCTCTTTCTGGGAAATTCTTCTATGTCTTCATCTTGAAACCCCGTTTCAAGGGTGAAACCCCGTTCACCCCCCCC